TGGTCAACCTCGACGGACACAGATGTCGAGCCATCGGCACCCCTGCAGTAACAAACAACAATGGTTAATCCCGCTACACAAATCGCGGAAAGAAAAAATACTTACGCGTTAACTGAAGGGGGAGCATCCATCATTAGCTTAATTTTCACGAGAAGCAAGCAATATGGAATAAGACGCACAGTTCTGGACGTTCATGGTTACGGTTCCATCCGCGGCGGCCGCGATGGCCGTGGAGGTATCGAGGTTTGCAGCAATGGCAATGCTGCCACACGGCTTCGCGGTGCTCGGGCGCTGGACGTCGCTCCGTTGAGGCGCGCCCTTGACACCGAGAGCGATGCTAAAGAGAAACGGGCCGCGTGAGATCATATTATACTTACTTCAACAAGAGAAACGAAAAAGAAATTAAATGCACCTCGGCATCGCATGGGCAGACGTCTGCGCCGCAAGCGCCAGGAAGATGGAGGCACAGGCCAGGACGGACTTGGTACCGGTGAACATCGTAGTATGTAGTCGTCAAGTGTACGGTTTCGTTGAAATGTGTGGTTCCGTTGAAGAAAGAAAGAAGAAAAAGGAACCGGTCCTAAGAAAGGAGTTGAAAGAAGAAGAAGAAATAAAGAATGACTGGAAGGGAAAGGAAACCGGGGAACCAACCGCGTTGCACGAGGGCTTTTTAAAGGATTTGAGGCTGACCATGTACCTGACGGATCAGCTGCTGATCGATCATTCGATGATAAACGAAACAAATGATTAAAACCATCTACCCCGATTTTGACCGACAACTAATTAAATGCGCCGTGCGGTGAGTTCTTACTTAGAGGGCTCGGTCCACTGTGTAAGTTGCTATGGCCTGAGACTCGATTCAAAGTTAGAAGTAATCCTTCTTCCTCAAGTCCTCCGTTACGGCGATTGTCCCAGCGAGATGAGTGTTGAGAAGGCTTGAGAGCGAGGTGTTCCGAGCTATGGAAGTAACGATCAAGCACAGCTCGCTGACCGGGCAACCGCCGAGCGACAACTGAACATCGCGTATAAGTGTATACGCCGAGGTAATCGCCGACGGCCTCACGCCATGCGAAAGATTCAGATATGCCAACCGCCCTGGCCCTGGGAAGTCTGTAGGTAATATTACTAGGTCGAGCTCGGGGGCCAAGAAAACATACATACTCGAACAGTTACAAGAGGTAACCCCATCAGTGTTCATAGCACAGCAGTGACAGCACCGCAGAAGCCGCGCAGATCAGATCAAGGATCTCAACTCTGGCCAATCACATGGAATTCAGATTCTGCTACATTATTCGCAGATGAAACAAGGGATGAAAACCTATGAAAACTCAACCACTGTGCTACGCCTTACGCACCATGACCAGTGCCAAAGGCCACTCGACCTCCACCAGCGCCGTCTCGTCGGGATTCCCTACACCCTCCATCAACGCCCGCCGAAACCGCGTCGCGATATCCCCGTCCTCACGCGCCAGATCCGCTGGAAACGCCTCGTGGTAGCGGTGCAACGAGCTATATGTGCCCAAATAATCCGCGAACCCCCCACCCCACGTCATCGTCTTTTTCACGATCACGTCCTCGTGTGGACCGGGCAGCGCGGGGTAGTGCGCACCTGTGTAGAATTTACGCGTCAGATCCGTCCAGCCTTGCGCCGGGGCATCGACGTCGAGGAAGTGGTTATCGAGGATCTTGCGCCCCGGCTGCTCCCAGTGCGGGCCGAGCGACGTCGCGGGGTCGGTGCCCTGCGCGTACGCGGAGATGAGCGGGGTGAGCTCGGGGTGCCGTGTTAGCCGGACATCGGAGTATCCCTATGGGTTTTTTCGCAATTGGTTTAGTATGTACGCGGTGATACTATATATGAAACTGGCCGCGCTGCGGCTGGCCATCATATGCTCACCCAGAATGCGAACGTCCCGCCTGGTTTCAAGATTCGCTGCAGTTCCGGCCACACGCGCGACCAGTCGAACCAATGTGCAGATTGTGCTGATGCCCGTCATTTACCCGTCATGCTCCACTTCCACACGATCTGAAAACGCGCACGTACCTGCGGTGACTAGATCGACCGTCCCGTCCTCTACGAAGCTCAAGTCCTCGGCCGTCGAATGGCGAAACTCGACGCGGGATTTGACGTGCGCCGATATGCCCTCCTTGGCGACTTGAACCATGTTGGGGCTAGGATCCACGGCGATTACGTTTTGGAAACCCGGGCGTTCATCATCTATGTCAATGGTCAGATAGTACTTATGAGTTTCACTCGTTGATGGGTCGGGAAACGGGCATACCGGCGAGGAGCTGAACCGTTGCCTGACCTACATAACGATTATCGTGCGGTAAATTTCAAGTCCAACCATGTTAAAAGACATAATACCTGTCCCACAGCCCAGGTCCACTGCACATTCCCAGCGATCCGAGTCTGCATTCGCGGGTCCCTTCTTGTGGAATTGCAAGACGACGTCGTAAAGCAGGCGAGGATAAGTGGGTCGCGCGGCGGCATAACGTGCAGAATCGTAGGAGCCTTTGGCGAATGTGGCCATCGTCGCTGTTAAGTCGATGGAGTGAGAGCAAGACGTGGAAGATAAGGAACAGCGTTTATCCGAGTCGCCGATGATCGGAAGTCTATTTTGTCGCGTTTTAGATTTGTTTTAGATTTGAACCTCAATCTTTCTCGACTTTTGTTTTCTCCACGCAAATGTTAGTTTATCGCAAATCTGAATTACAGGACCACCCCATTTTTATACCTTCCGAAACGATCTAGCAGGTTTTCAGAATTTTCTCTGTCCAATCCATTGGACAATCAGAAATTACATCGGACCGAACTTGCGGTGTTTGGTCTGTACACACAACGCGTCGGCTGGTTGTCGGCTGGCGTCGCGTCTAAGTATTGCAAGTTCTTTCTTGCCTTCGTGCTGGCTCGCATACTCTCTCTTATCTGTGCTTCCCGGTATCACATGTATTGTTTCGCCTCTTCCTCATCCAACACCTTTTCTCTCCTCATAACAAATCCAAGGTTTTCTTTCCGGTGCGAGTGGTTCGAACTTCGAGCTCAGGCATGTAAAACAGTCTTTTGATATTGTATCTCAGCCCTCGTGTATGTATTTCTAGCTGAGTTAGAGTTGTATCTGAGCCGCGGTCATTTATTTGAGGCGGGGCCAGCGGTGCGGAGATCGGTCCGCAGCCGGTCGGTCCGATCAACCGCTCGCGTGGGAGGGGGCGGGGGGTACAGCCACCACTAGATTTCGGAGGTTGATATCCGCCGATTTCGGTCCGCCCACCTCTTGACGGTCAGTCTTTACCAAAAACATCGGACTTCGTTGCAAACCCGACCGGGGACCTGGTTTTTTTCAACTTTTTCAATGCCAAGTCGTGTTGAAAAAAAAAAGTCTAAATCGGCACGCGTACTATTATGCACCGGTCGGGGTTGCGAAAAATTGGGTCTTTGCGAAAGTTGAACGTTGATCCCCAAAAACCAAATCCAAACCCACGACTACCGTCGGGGTTTGAACATTAGTTACTCCAAGTCCGACGCTAACTGGACAGTAAAAAATAAAATAAAAAAGCCGCGAGTTGCGGACTTGAGACTTGGCCTTCAAGGTTCACTTCAATTCGAAAACTGTCGTTGGGCAACGGCACGGTTGCTGAGCGCCGAGTAGACTCGAATCTTGAACGAGCACCTGCCTAACGCCTAAGGCGAAGCTTCATTAGCAGACGTGGTAGAAATCTTGTCGGGAGAGACGCTGTCAACTGAGGTCGAGAGAAAAATCAGCGTCCAATAACTCATCTGCTCTGCGTTTTGTGGGCGATTTAGTCTAAGACAAAGCGCTGAATCCATGACATAAAAGATCTTGTCCATCGGCAGGATCCATTAACACAATCTGTAACTCTACCGTAATCAGCAAACTAAATAGTCTCGCTCAAGAACAAAAAAAAAGGACAAGAAAGAGAGAAAGTCAGATGGCCATGGATCCAGTGTACATTGTCGCTTGAAATTGAGATACCCAGCCCCGGTCGTGTCGTACATGTACCACATACATCCGCACGCGACGGCTCACGCGGACGCATACTGCTGCGTCCACTCGCGGCTGACGCGCTGCGCATCCTTCTCGTTCTCCTTGTAGTGCTTCGCGACGTCCGGCGCGAGCGGGTCGTCAGGGTTCGGCGCGCTGAGGAGCGCCTGCACGGAGAGCAGCACCGTGCGGATTTGGAGGGCCGGCGACCACTTGTCTGGAGATCCAGCCCAGCGGTGAGCACAAAGAAACCGAGGGGCAGACGGAACACGCACCTTTCAGGATATCGAGACAGATGCGGCCGAGTTTGTCTGAGACGCACGCACACGAGCGGGTGTCAGCTCAGGAAGCGGGGGCTCGGGGAGGCGGGCTCACCGATGTTGGGGTGGTATATCTTGGTGAGAAAGCGGACTTTCGGGGGCGCCATCGGGTATTCTTCTGGTAGGAAGAGCTCCAGCTTGAATATGCCCTCTGTAGCATAGAAAGCAGGTCAGCCTTGGCACCACTAGGGGGGCCGGATGGGCTAGGCGATGGGTAGAGAGGGATCCAAGGGTGATAGACGCGGTTTTGGGGACGTAAAGGAAGGAAACGGAGGGAGAGACGCACGCTGGAATGGGCTGCCATCGGGACCCTGAATCGTCACGTCGAAATACCGCAGGTTGTCATCGTGAGGCGCAGCCGTGATACCAGGCGCGGGGTCCGCCACTAAGCGCTCGGTTTCCTGGTTCGCTGGGCTCAGAAGCCCACTCAGCAATGCTTAACAGACAAAGAGCACCTTGATTATGCGCTAATCCGATAAGAATGGCAAGTACTCGTATGAGTCCCGGGTGAGGTACAAGGGAAGCGAATGTGATGTACTTGCCTTGGGAAGAGCCATGGGGAGTATGGAGAAGAGGGACAAGAGGAGGACGCAGGAGACGGCGACGGAAATGGGAGGTGTGGATGCTTAGTCAGCACTGCCACTTAAGCTTGTCTCTTGCCACGACATCTCCGACCGAGTCAGATATGGTGTAGCGGTAACACGTCCTTCAATCGTTCCGAAGTGCAACAAAAATTCATAGGATGTCCAGAGTTCGATTCTCTGTGTCTGATTGGTCTTGGTCTTTTTATTAAGACTCTCTGGAGTCATCAACTCTTTTCCTACGACGGGCCCTGGACGACACTGTCACCAAGGATAATTTAACAACCCTGGCAAAAATCTTGACTCTTCTGATTACTTGGACTTGTCTTCATCTGTTCCATCTCTCTTATTTTTCGCCAACTCAGGAATTGTCTAGTATGATCAAGATGATAGTAATTCTTTGTACATTTGATACACGACAGGCCTAAAATACCAGCAACCACTACGCATCCAATCCCAACGCCTCACGCCGCGACTTGGAGCTGGGATCGAAGAATGGCTTCTCCGCGAGCGAGCTAACGCGGGTACCGTGCCTTTCTCCCTTGCCTTCGTAGTCATACGACACCGTGTGGATCGTCGTGCGGTTGTCCCAGCTATGAAAGAAAAAAGAAACACCGTCAAGCTCTGCGTCAAATTTCAAGTAATAAACGCACATAGCCGACGTCCCGGGCGTCCACTTCCACCGAATCTGGGTATCTGTAGACTTCTCGTACACACTGCGGCAGTGGTGTCAGTCAGTCATGAAAACCAGGTTGAAAGTCACTTGGATCGGGTACGTACTCGTGGATGTGGTTCAAAATCGCGTCGCTCTCAGCCTTGTCGAGCCCCTCGATGCCAACCGTCATCGCCCGGTTCGCAAAGACGGTCTTGAACCCGGTCACAGGGTGTGTGCGCACCTAATCCTCATCATCATCGTTAGTATTACTGAGTTTTCTGATTTGAAGGACAGACGCACCAGGGGGTGGACGATATGCACGTGGCGCGGCGGGGCGCTCGGGTCCTCCGCGTCTTTGTACTGGTGCGCAGAGCGGTAGATTCCGCTGATGAACGAACACGGAAGCTGATCAGAATTTTTTTTCGCCAGGGTGAGTTGGAACTTGGGGGGCGAATACTCACTTCAGTCCGTCGAGGATCTTGCGGAAGCCGGGCGAGAACTTGTCGTAGGCCGAGTACCCTGACGCCTGAACGACCGAAATTAATTTTTGTTGGAGTTCTAAAATGCAGGACAACGCACCCAGAGGGTGTCGCCGCCGACTTCGGGGACCGTATCTTGATGGAGGTGCGTGTAGCCCGGCGGGAATGCGAGGTGCACCAGGTCGGTGTGCCCTAAACGACGCGATTTTCGTTTCAAAAATTCCGAGTCCAGGAGAAACAAGACACGCACACCCATAGCTCCCAGACGGATACGCGTTCCGGAAGCCCCGGGGCGCCTTGAGCTGGTACTCGCGCGCGGTCTCCCAGATGAGCGTCACGCCCGGAACGCCGGGTACTTGGGGCACCTGCGGGTGGATCTCGATCTCGCCGTCGCCGAGGTAGAGACCCAGTTCCTTCTGTTTCTGCGGGGAGAGATCCTGGTCACGGAAGACTACAAGCAAGTGTGGGTTTCAGTCAGAGCCGGAGGCGAGGTGGCGGAGATACGCACAGACGACAGAACGCTCGCTGTAATTCCGGACAATGATTATTAACGACTAGGGAAGTAAGTCACGGAACGCGTGAGACGTACGCGATGAGGAGAGCGAGCTCATCTCTCTGCTGGTCGGTCAACTCGGCAAGTTGGAGGCCCACGATCTCGGTCTGGATTCAGACCCAATTTGTCAACCCTCCCATCCGACGCGAGAGAAAGAGAACACGTACACCGATGTGGATCGACAGGTTCCTGACCTCCTTGGCGGCGCCAAAGAGCGCCTTCTTCTCTGGGTCCGCGCGCGTCCCGGGATCGACATAGTCCCGCAGGTTGGTCTGCAGCTTCTCCACATCCTGCACAAACTCGGGTTTGTTCGGGAGGTACGGGTATCCCTCTGACGCACGGGTTCAGTAACCAACCTATGGACGAAACGCTTGAGGCGGACTTACGCGAGATGTCGATCCCTGCTTTCTCGTAGCGCCTCAGCGTGTTCGCCGGCGGGCGCTTGAAGGTACCGCTCTCCTCGGGATACGTTGGTTTGACAGGGCCCGGCTTGATCACCTGGTGCGCTGGGGTAGGGGTGGAAACTTCGGTCGCGACTGGAGCCATTGTGAATTACTCAAATGAGAATGAAGAATATCTGCGCGACGCGCGAGGCTCTATATACTCTGGAATTACAAAGCGAATGTGCATGGAGCACGCAATATGGTTAGGAAATTGAGGCAAAAAGCGTTCGCGCGATAAGGACAGATGACCTGCGAAAGTATGTCGAGAGTTTGGTAATATATAGCGCAATGTTCTGGGCCTCCCGCAAAGATTGCTAATTTCTGTCTTGGTCAGCTGGCCGTATTAATTTTGTCGCAACTGCTGCACTGGATGATTTCTTCGAGCAGGAGGCCCCGACAATTTATTTACTTGTTGACCTCAAAACAAATTCATTTCCTTCATATCATAACCTCGTCTACTTTACGGGGATCATCGTGAACAATTCCAGACTCCAAACTCCCGGTCGTTTCGATTCCACTTTCAATGACATCTCGCACGGCTGCCTTCTTTCTATCCCGGCGGAGAAGCCATAGAATTAGAGCTGTCCAGGTGACTAAGAACACGGTTAGTAAGTCGGCGAGAAGTTGAACTAGGCCGCAGGACGGTAAGCTTACGCAGCAAGAATTGCAGAACTAGGATTACGGTGAGCTAAATGACCGGCAAAGGAGATAGAAAGGCGCATACTGATTGACCAATGATATCCCTTCGTTGCGCGGGGGAAGTCAGTGGTCTTCCAGACGAAGTTGGGTGCGACTGCTTGAACCACGTAGGCTAGATCATTTCCCAGCGCAACGCAAATTGCGCGAAGTTCATTCTAAAAATATTGAAACTCAATTGAATGGAGAGAAACGTGGATATGGTCCCTTACATCTGCCCCTGTAATTTCGCTGATCCAGTTCAGGATCAGTGGCCCGGCGGTAGTCTGTAACACTGTGAGAATCATTTTATCGAGTGCGGAAATTCCTCCATCACGCACGCCGAGGGTCAGCAAGTAAAAATACGCGAAATGGCCCCGGATATTAGTATATAGAGGCATCGAGAGCCAGATAGTGTCGAAAATCAGGGTGACAATCGAACCGGCAACTACGAATGGCCATCTGAGTCCTGTATTGGGAATGATGAACATTTTTTTGTAGTCGGAGGCGAATTAATTACCTTTGGCGGGACCATCGCTGACCCATGCTAGAACCAAGGCCGTGACAAAGAAAATGGCTGTAGCAGGGAGCGGAACTAGAAAATGGCATTATTTTGTGTGTTATGAATCGTATTTACTAGTAGATGCACTGACGTAGTTGGATTTGAGAGACGGAAAAGTGCGTTCCCGGAACAGGATACGGTTTAATGTTGAAGCTCTTGAGCCAGTATTGCATGGGCGACTGAACCGGACCGTTGTTCCAGAGCACATATTCAATCGGCAGAATATATATATACCAACCAGTGAGGATTTTCCGGAGCTACAAATACCGTACGATGAGTGTTTGATCGGCGGGTGCTAAGGGCCACAGACCTTCGCTTTACTCCATGGTTCGCTCTCTTTCCTCCCAATAGCCTTCATTCTGGCGCGCGCAAGGGCAATGTCCTACCAAGGTAATTCTGTTGAGTACGCTAGAAATATTGTAGTTCAGTTGAAATACCTCGCTGCTGAGAAGTAGAGAAGGTTTCGCCGCCCATGGCAAATCAGGCAGGAAAACGAATCCAAAGAGGGCGATTGGGATGGTGCTAAAATATTTTCAGTTTTTAGGAACGCCAATGATAACATCCTCCACGCATACACGATAGCATCGACGATCATAAGCCAACTAAAGATGCCGTTAGAAACGGAAACCCAACAAGGCTCTGATCATACCGCCATCCAGCCAATCCGTGAACACCGTCAAGATTGTTGTATGCTGCTGTTTGCAAGAATCCTGAGAACATGGTCCCAAGCGAACCGGATGCCCAGAATATGGTAGACCTCTTTGCCAGTTCACGCGGCGTGTACCTGTGTTTTATCCTTAGAAACCGGAAAGCTCATCGAGTGACGACGAACCAGGAGCCTAAAATGTAGTGCATGCCCGGGTAAAACCCGGATTCAAACAACCCGACTGTTGAAGCGGTCAGGAGGGGCCTTTCATACACTATGAAAGGTTCGAACCAAGAAACCTCAGCGCATAAAGAGCCTTCACGCTTTTCACGGAGTAGGTCCCAAGCGTCGCTAGCCCCCAAGCCAGTTCCAACTGCGAAAGTAAGGACCATGTTGAAGCGTTTCGGGGAACCTTACCGTCGGAATGACATATTGCGGGGAAATCCTGGTAAGAAGCAAGTTGGATGGAAGTTGGCCGATAACATATCTGTAGAATTTTGAGGGTGACTTGAATGAAGAATGGAGACGAGCGCCCACCCTGCTGTCCAGTACGAAGTGGCGTGAACCAGTTCGTCTCCATACATGTTTCTGTAAAATAACTGAATAACAGATCACAGTGGCGACAAGACTAGAACATGGCTCACAGGTCTTCCTTCATCCCAGCGAAGAACTGGAAAATTGCATTAGTCGATGGAACCTGATTGTAGAGCATGAGACACGGACTGCGCTCGTAACATTTGTCTAGAGTGCGATTTGTTAAATTCGAGTTTCTTCTTTGAGGTAAACCTACCTGGTCCAGATTCTTGATGAAATAACCCAGCTGAGAAGCGCATTAATGTTCCATTGCATGATAAATTTCAGAGAGGCCATACAGAGGCAAAAAGCAACAAAGATGCGTCCACCTTGAACAGCATTCGTCGTTCGTGAGCACTGACATCCGCCGTATCCCACAGATATCCCAGCCACGACGGCTTCGCAGTCTCTGGATCCAGCGGATATGGCGATTCGGAGGGCTCCACTGTCTTAATTCCGGTAGTCGAGCTCATTGCGGGATAGACAGGGATTAGAAAGGCCAGGCGCCTACATAAGTATCATGAATAGAACACATTCGTTTCTTGCGCCATTCGCGCGATAATGTGCATGTATCGTGCCATCCCTGTCGTAAGGGTCAAATGACT